ACCCGAGAATTCTTTTCGGCTTTAACCTCCGATTCGACACCTGGGCCTCCCGAATACCGTCGCGTTCAGTAGCTATAACAATGTTATGGGCTTCGTGAGGCAAGGAATACATTTTGTTGTGGGCATGCAGCTAATATTTTAAAGGGTGAAGTGACGATTAATTCCTTTTGTTCTTTCTGTCTCCCTTTTCGTCTTTTTTACTCCCTTCCCTTCTTTAATTTCCAGTTTAGAAAACCGAAATTAACGGCCGTGGGGATTCGTTGCCCTGACCACGCGACACCCTCTATCCGCAAAAGTTGGCACTAAACTTCGTCGACAAGCGGCGGTCCCTCGGTCGGTATAGTTCGCTTGCGGACTAAAATCACGGAGTTTGTTTGTGTTTCATTTGTTTCATTTTGGTCCGTCACACTAACAGTTACAATTATAAAAGACAAGTCCGTCCAATGTGACTATTCCAATTATCTCACTTGATGATTCACTAGCCTTACATATTTCGATCCATTTGGATCATCTTCAGAGGCACCAAACACTATTTTGAAACCACTATCACAACAGTTGTCAATCAAATACACAGCACAGCGGGCCAAGAAATCATAATGGACTATATTAAGAATCTCCCTACTCAAGTTACATAGGCGGCACAACATCGGCCACCTAGAAGAGAGACAACAGGGGTCACTGACACGAACTGTAAAAGTAGTTACTATAGGATTCTGACGATGGTGTATAACACACTGATATATTGGGTTTTTGGACTTTATCCATCGTCCTGGTTTTTAAGATAACAAATAAAAACACGACGTTTCGGAAACTGGATCTGTTTCCGTCCTCGGGTGAAGGAAAACACCTATTCAGTTGGGTCCGTTAGAAAGAGCTAGCCTCAATCTGTAAACTGTAAAGTTTATGAATTTTAATTTCTAACAAAGTTTTAAAACTTTAAAACAACGTTAAATACTTCTATAACTAGAAAGGCTGCTGTGACTGATAGATGGAACATTGTCTACTTGGACATTACATGTATATTTGATTGACAACTGTTGTGATAGTAGTTTCAAAAAAGTGTTTGGTGCCTCTGAAGATGATCCAAATGGATCGAAACATGTCAGGCTAGTGAATCATCAAGTGAGAAAACTGAAATAGTCACATTGGACGGACTTGTCTTTTATAATTGTTTGTTTTGTTTTCCCTTATTTAATTCCTCCTATCTTTCCTACTTTTTCTCTCATTGCTCTTTATTACATACTTTCCTTCTTTGTTCATATCTTCCATTGCCTCACCCCTATCCCACCCTTTAATATCACCCAGCGCTCTGTGCGCCAACTGCACAATTAATTCCGACGCATTGCCGTGCAGTAGGTCTGTGTCCAGTAGAGCCTGGTCCTGACAGAAACACGTACAGCATAGTAAAGCGTCTGGGACTAGCCTCTATTCACTGGTGTGGAAGCGCAGTGACCGTGGCAGTGAGTGCCCACAGGGTAGCAGTCTCAGCGGCATTAGTTTCCCTGTGTCTGGTCCTGATTTATTCGGTTCTACTTTACGGTATATTCGCAATGAAAAGCTGCAGACATGCCCCTATTTACTTCATCATATCTGTCTATCCGCACATAAGGACTGTAGAACTTCTGAGAGAATTTTCATACAGTCTGATTCCGGAGAGTTTCTGAAATTTCTCAAGATTACATGAAGTTCAGTTGCATCTCGAGCTGTTTCAGAAACGGCTCGTCATGCAAACAGTGACATTCGTAATATTAAAGAGGGCCGCGCCAAAGCTCAAGCGGTTAGTCGCTGGCTTCCCACCGCGGCGGCCCGTGTTCGATCCCGTGTCTGGTCAAGTGGGATTTGTGGTGGACAAAGTGGGGCTGGGGCAGGTTTTCGCCGAGTACTTCGGTTTCCCCTGCCAATCTTCATTCCACCAATTGCTCCACAATCACCCTCACCTGTCATCTGGGGCTGGTACAATAGGCCAGAAGTGGCCGCAGTACAAGGGACTTAGTCCCACCCCACTAGCAATAATAAATAAAAAAAATTAAAGAGGCATACAGACCTGTCAAGCCTGGAACTTTTATTTGGAATATTTTTCAATATCGTGACTATATAACCAAATAAAGGGAGTATAATTTCTGACTTAGTAAAGTATGGCAAGGTAAAGTTGTTCCTGTGCTTAATGAAGCACAACGCCGTGAAGGCATATGGGAGTGTGGAAATATAGCTCAACAATTCTTGACCTCGACACTAGGTGGAAGTGAGTGACGAGATTCACTCTCGGGGGCACGGCCTCCTGGGCCCATTGGACAGGAGGCTGGATGGTACCCAGAATCGAGAGTATAGAAAAATCTCTTTCTCCTGCCGGGAATGGAACAGCGATTCCTGGGCTGTCCAGCCCTAAACACTCACTATAACAACTGAGCTATCCAGGCTCTGTGCAGTTTGGTATATGTAATGGATTGTGTAGCAGCAAATTTATAGGCTGATAAGAAAACTGAATAACACTGAACAGTAAGAAGTTTTCTTCTTATTTTATCAGATATACGCAGTAACAAAACATGTTTCATATAGATAGCTTGGAACGCAATAAACAAACAAAAACAAAGTCCGTGGCCTTTAGTCCGCACTAGAACTATACCGACCGAGCGACCGCCGCTTGTCGGCGAACTTAATGCCAACTTTTGTGGATGGAGGATGTCGCGTGGCCAGAGCAACGGATCCCAACGGCCTTTAATTTAGGGTATCTATAACTGAGGCCCCATTTCCTTGAAATACCGTATTTACGCATGTATAGGCCGCACATTTTTTGCCAAAAATTCAAGAGGAAAACTGGGGTGCGGCTTATATTCGAAATATTCGAAATGACACTTCATTTAAAAAAAAATTATATTCATAATTAGTAATACAGGATGTTCTACTCCTGAAATAATATTCCAAGAAAATTATCTTTTCTATAATTTCTGTCTGAAAATTGTGCTGCGGCCTATACACGCACGCGGACTACACATGCGTAAATACGGTATCTCCTCAGTTATCTTCACGAGGCTGAGTGAAACGCAATAGGTTTTGTATTTTATGTGACGATCAGGTTATTTTTGTATGACGCATACTTTTCTGAATATTTTATAAATTCCGTTTTGAGCAACATATACATTGGACCAGTAGATTCCGAACTCTGTCGAGTAGTTTCGAAGGTGAAATACACCAAGATACATTCAACTATACCGATTATGCGTAGCAATTGAATATACATACAGAATTTTGCATCAGTTTTATTGTTTTCAGAGCCACCAGAGTAAAGTCAATGTACTGGAGTATTTCTTTGACACGAATAGCACACGAACCAGGAGAAAATCTAACTGGTGCCCTAAAGGGGATGTAGCTACAAGCACGAGCGTTATATCTTCCGTCAAATTGTGAATCTACAGTGTAAGAAGTTGGGTAATGCTTTTGAAGGCAATCCGCGAAGAAATCACTTTGAGTTACCCTCTTATTTCCTCAGTTTTCTCTTCTCCTTTATTCTTCCCTTGTTTTGAGTCAAATAGAACAAGTAAAAGCGCGGCGTCGGCCCGTTCACTCGAGTTTCCAAACAAATCCCTCGAGATGAAGGACGGCAGGAAACTCTCCCCTCACTGATTCGCTTCTCATTTCCTCGCGAACACTTGTCTTTTCTCTTTTGCTAGGGTTGAAAAGAAAGTAATATCCCAAGCAAGTTATTTTCAAGTGAGCCATAATTACCGTGTTCAAAAAGTCCATCTCTAGACACTATCCTACGTAGCATGAATCGAGCCGACATCTTCACAATGTTTTTCTAAGATAGATTTTGATTTTATCACTTCATCTTCTCGCACTACTCTCAGAATTACGTTTCTGTTATATTGCTTTATGTAGAGAATTATAAATGACAGGTTCTAAAGTAAATTACTGCTTAATATTTATTAAAATTGAGAGTCCAAATAAAATAAAGCATGTATGTAGTTAGTTATTGGAGAGGATGGGTTTCCCCATGCACTTAGACCAGTATTGGTCCATTGTGCTTCCCTCTATGATATTCTACCAGTCTCTATACCCTACCGATATTGGTGCGTACCATCAGTCCCGCCGAGCCAGCGAGTTCGCCTCCACTGGCTTGGCGGTGTCTATAATGCTTCCCCCATCTGTCAGAGGTATTAGAGACTACTGGTGGGGGGGGGGAAACGTCCTTGAATTTGGTTCAGTGACCTCCTTTGGAGATATGAGGTTCTTTTACGTGCCGTAAAGCTACGACACGGGACAAACGGTTTAAAGTCCCTCCCGGAGGACTTGTTCCCTGAATTTTTCCGCCCTTAAAAATTCGACGATCTCCGCCGGGTTTTTGAACCCGCGTACTACGAGTCATGAGGTGGGAACGTTACCTCTAGACTACGAAGGCCGCTAAGCATGTATGTAAGAAGAGGTAGATGCTTCTAAACAGTTATCTCGTTCACAACATGGAAAGGCTAATTCTATAACAATATTTAATATAAGAGTATAAATTATGAGTTCCCAAACGCTTATGCAGGTAAAAAAATGTGAAGATACCCTTGTAACAGACCGTGGAGGCTCATAGGTTTGTGAGACGTTGTGGTTCCCACATTTTCTAGACAGTCGGCTCACAGATGGTGGTGAGATTGTAAGCCTTAGGCGCCGGCCACCCTTTACCCCCCAGGAATATTAATGGTGCTCATTTCTGTTACGAACCCAGGGCCATATTACGGCTGGAAGGATTAGGTAAATTGAAAAATCCAATGACTTCATCGAGAATCAAACCTTCCAGCTTGTAGTATAGTGCCTCAAGCAACCACGCTACCGCGTACCCCTAACTGTTATGCAGGGTGTCCATTTTATCTGCTGTCACAGCGCCGTGGAGAGAATTTCCGCTTTAAGATGCAGCCACTGTCGAGTTATCGCGAGTGGTAGATATACTGCACGCTCGACATTTGAGTGGGTAATCCTGTAAGTGGCCTACGACAGCCTTTCGCTTTGTAACCACTCACGTTTGAGGCAGATCTTGTTCCGCCGGAAGTTGAGTGACGTCTCGTTGTGCAGTGGGTTGTATGTGCTGATGTTCAGCTGCAGCAGCACCTCGATCTCTGCACTCTGCAGGCCCGTGCACGGGAACCGAACCCTGGACAGAAATGAACAAAATGTAATAACAGCCGTTTCACACACATGAACGTATTTTGTCTGCTACACGTCAGTCACGTGACTAGCGGCTGGGAGGAAGAAAGTAGCCGGGCTAGGCAGGAGACCTGAATTCGACGCCTCGTCTGTGCATATACTTTGCTGTGCCGCTTGATGTCTCACAAATGCAGGGAACTCGTGAAGTAGATTGTGACGTACAGTTTGCACGTAGGTGACAAAAGTAAACGCTTTACGCACTTAGTTATATTTGTGGCACTGCTGTAGTATTAGGAAGAGGCTAGCAGCTCAGTCAGTATAGTGACTATGCAATGGACTGGATGGCCGGAGAATTGGAATTCGAGTCCTGGCAGGGATAGAGATATTTTTTAATTCATCTAGTCGAGATCAGTTCTGGAGCCTCCCTTGACACCCTACCAAATGGGTACCGGGGCTACTTTCCCCAGGAGTAAAAGCCCAGGGGCGTGATAATAACCATTCCCTCCATATAGTCTGAAGGTTACGGCAGGTTTGACCTGCACTTCCACACGAAGGCCAAGGTTTATATCGGGTGTCCGAATGAAAGGTTTCCGAAATAAAAAGTTATATCTCGGAAAGTAATTGTCATATACGTATCTGGTTTATGTCATCGGAAAGGAAACCTATTTAAGTTCTTTTCCATGCCCGGCTTACGCGCATGCGCTGCCATGTTTCTGCCACGATGTTAGGAATCACTTGGACAGAGTGATGGTTAGGATATGATCGGCATAAGCGGATCAATTGCTTGGCCTCCTGGGTCGCCAGATTTAAACCCACTGGTTTCTTTCTTGTGGCGTTATTTGAAGAATATTGTCTATCAGGTTAAGATCAACACCTGAAGGTCCGCATATTTTTTTGTATTGCTAGTGGGGTGGGACTAAGTCCCTTGTACTGCGGCCACTTCTGGCCTATTGTACCAGCCCCAGATGATAGGTGAGGGTGATTGTGGAGCAATTGGTGGAATGAAGATTGGCAGGGGAAACCGAAGTACTCGGAGAAAACCTGCCCCAGCGCCAATTTGTCCACCACAAATCCCACTTGACCAGACCCGGGATCGAACCCGGGATGCAGCGATGGGAAGCCAGCGAATAACCGCTTGAGCTATGGCTCTGCTAAAGCCCGAAAAAGGGACCATGTAGCTGTGGTAACACCAAACATGCTGGATCGTCTGGATATTTGTCGTGCCACCAAGGGAGCCCACGTTGAATTTTATTGAGAAAGTTATATATTCAGAAAGAACTTTGATAGTTTCCCTTTGTAGTGGTGTAAGCCATAAATGTGAATAATAAAAGCTTTATGAAATATCATTATTTTATTTTGGATTCCTTTCATCCGGACACTCTGCATTGGTCACTAGTGCTAGTCATTTGCCTTTTACGAAAGAACAGCTGCACTTATATAAGCATAGACAACGTATCGGGCGCACCCACCCGAAAGGCTGGTTCACAATAAGCCAACGATTGCACGAAAATAATTGTGAGGAATTTTGAGCACCACTAACTAATCCCTAACCAGTGGCTTAGTGATACTAAAACACTTCAAAAGTATAAAGCGGTCTTCTGGGATGTGACACCATGTTGTCTGCTTGTACCTGTTCTGACGGTCTCTTCGCTTGCGGATTTCTTATTTTTCCTTCTACCCTGAAGATGAAGGCGAAACGTTCCTCCGAAACGTCGGTTAACACCATATCTACGCGATGCCACATCCCAGAAGACTGCTTTTTTTCATAGTCACAGCCGTGAAAACCTCAAATCTTACACTTCAAATGTAGTTGTTGTACTCGTAGTTGTTGTAATGTAGACTGACTATTATTCCGATGGAAAAGATTGAAAAACAACGTAAACAGCATTTACTGGAGCATCTTGGCTGGCTGGTAGTCTCCTCTTCAAAAGCTGTTTAGACCACTTTACTGAGATCTTAGCGATATTAAAATTCTCTTCAGTCGTGCATGCAGGATTCTTCTTATGGGTCTGTATGCTGGCTTACACCGTATCCTCTCTTACAGAATCATCCTTTTATTTGCTACTTTTCCTTGCTACTTCAGTATCGTTGCTAAATTATAATAAACTGTGGTTCTGTATGGGTGTGAAACTAGGTCTTTGATATTAAGGGAGGAACGTAGACTGGGGGTGTTTGAGGACAGGGTGGTGAGGAAAATATTTGAATCGAAGAGAGATGAAGTGACAGGAGGTCGGAGAAAACTGCATAATGAGGAGCTTCATAACTTGTACTCTTCTTCAAGTATAATTAGATTGATCAAGTCAAGGAGGATGAGGTGGGCAGGGCATTCATGACGAATGAGAGGGTAGAGAAATGCATGTAGAATATTGGTGTGAAAACCAGAAGTAAAGGAACCACTAGGAAGATGACGACTCAGGTGGGTGGACAATATTAAAATGGATCTTAGAGAAATAGGATGGGATGGTATGGACTGGATTGATCTGGCTCAGGATAGGGATCAGTGTAGGGCTGCTGTGAACACGGTATTGAACCTTCGCGCTCCATAAAATGCTGGGAAGTTCTTGAGTAGCTGCAGAGTTGGCGGCTTCTCAAGAAGAGCTTAGGCCCATGAGTGAGTGAGTGAGTGAAGAATTTAGAAGGATATATTCATTGCATTTTTCAAGGTAAAAATATTCCTCTACAGTTAGCGACGTTTTAACACATTCACAGGTTGCAAGCATGTAACATCGGTTAAATGATAATTTGTGATGATTAGGGTGTGAAAGAAGGTGTTTATGGTTTTTGTGAAGCTGGTATGTGCTTCGGCTTTTCAACGACGTTTCCTGCAACTGCGTAAATAGTGTGACGTTCGGAGATGGATTGAACGGAATACATGGATTCACAGCTCTCCCTCCTTTGGAAAGGACATGAAAGTAATCATTTGTGGCCTGTTTTAAGATACTAACACACTTTTAGTTTGAAATGATTAAGGGAAACCACAAAATATCAGTCAGGATTGAAACTGGATCTGCAAACCTTCCGAACACAAGTCTGTAACCATGCCGTCAATCCAGCTTCCTCTCTGTTATGTGTAAAAACAGATACATATCTGTAAGCTCGAGTTTTATTTCCTTGTTTTGAAATGCAATTCAGGTGAGGATCCAGTTTTTTTATACGCCACTTGGCGCTTCTGCCATAATGAATTGTTGCACTGCGCTATCTACACTGTTATTTGTAGCCCACGATGGGTTTTGCAGTTAACAAATCCTCTTCCGGCGTCCGAAAAAAAGCCCCACGCTCCCTGCAAACGATATTAACAGCTAAAAGTGGAAATTCTAATTCGATTCAGATCAGCGTACGCGATGTTATCCTGTACCTGTCTGTACATACGATATGTCTCCGAAATTATTCAGCAGAACGCTATGAAATTTGGTTTGAACAGTTCATCCGAAACATACAGGGAGAATTGGCCGCGCTATAGCTCGAGCGGTTAGTCGCTGGCTTCCCATCGCGGCGGCCCGGGTTCGATCCCGTGTCTGGTCAAGTGGGATTTGTGGTGGATGAAGTGGCACTGGGGCAGGTTTCCTCCGAGTACCTCGATTTTCCCTGCCAATCTTCATTCCACCAATTGCTCCCCAATCACCCTCACCTATCATCTGGGGCTGGTACAGTAGGCCAGAAGTGGCCGCAGTACAGGGGACTTAGTCCCACCCCACTAGCAATAAAAAAAGAAGAATTAGGGCCGCGCCATAGCTCAAGTTGTTAGTCGCTGGTTTCCCACCTCGACGGCCCGGGTTCGAGCCCTGGTCTGGTCAAGTGGGATTTGTGGTGGACAAAGTAGTCTTCGTCCCACCAAATTCTCAATCATCATAATCACCCGGGGTAGGTACAATAGGCGAGTCAGTGGCCGACGTGCCGAGTGGATCCAGCTGGACTTCACCCCCCAATATACGAATGAAATATACCAGCAAGATTTAGGGATTGCCTTTGGTTGTCTCTCAAATGGGAGTGTTGGTTATATTTACTATTTTTTCTACTATCGCCATTTTTAGCGAAGCAGGATGGGACCGACGGACCAACGAATGTATGGTTACCGTTTATATGGATGCCAGGTGGATTGCTTCATCATGTTTTTGTATTTATACACGTATTTTAAACTTTCGTTAACAGACACGGATGTCACACAGCAGAGTCTAGTGAACCACTGCAACACACATACACGCACACTACAGAACTGACAGACACACATGCAGTAGCTAACACAGATCGTGTTTTATCGTGTGCAGGCACACAGTAGCAGCTCCACCAACTGTTAATTAAGTCAAATGCTGATGGTTTTGAGTGAGAGGGAATGAGTGTGTTTTTGTCTGTGGAGGGGGGGATCCCAACCTCTCACGCACATTCATGCATATAGACAGACAGATAGACAGACTGGCAGGCATTTGGCGTGGAACGCGATGTTTACATGTTTGAAATTCTGAGAGCTTCAAAAACAAAAACAAATTACATGAGCCTGTCCCCCCGCTTGGGCTTGTGCCCGACATTTGTGGTCTGCGACCACAACCACGATTTGTGATTGTCAGCTGTCTTTAATTGTTTATTGCTGAGGCCGGGCCAGTTCGAGGGTCGTTTAATTTAGTTTCTTTCTATGGAAAACAAATTGTTTCCAGAGATTAAGTATGTGGTGAATTAATTCAGGAATTCAAGGCAAGGCGTTTTCAGCTGCCTGGAATAATATACAGAATGTAGCAGAGGGGCAACAAAATGTAGTCCGTGGGTCCGACATAGGCTGTGTGTAAACATTAAGATCATAACGACGATAAGTTCAATTGTTGTTTATTTACGTGCAACCTTAGCACCACTTTTGCCAATTACCAAGTGTACACGAGTGGGTTGAATGAAACAACATAAAACGTAAAATTGAAATACAAAATAAGGCAGTATTTTTTTATTGCTAGTGGGGTGGGATTAAGTCCCTTGTACTGCGGCCACTTCTGGCCTATTGTACCAGCCCCAGATGATAGGCGA